CAAATGCAGAGGTTCTTTTTTCACAACTTCATTCTCAGATTTCTCCTTTCTGCAGGCATCATCATTCTTACTGTCATTTTTGTTCCTCCTCTCTTTACCATCCACACTATTTTTATCGTCAGTTTCAATACCTGAAGATTTACTTCTCAGCCTGGGAATTCTTGGTGTATGGTTACTTTCCCCAATCTTCCCCTCTGCCTTTCCCTCAGTTTTTAATTTCTCCTCAGCTGTATTCATCTTTTCTTTATCTGTAATACCGTTTTGATCACCAGTCTTCTCTTTGTCATCAGGTACAGAGACTCTAGATTTACCTTTCAATACAGTAACATAGCGATCCAACAGATACCAAAGCATCTCATTGTAAAATGGATAGCGAAATTTCTGCGGCACCTGTAATGAAATATAAAATGTATTTCATTAAACCAGACCTCTACGTTGATTAAAAACATTTTGAAGATTAACATCTGATTGCTGTAATAAATAAAACATTTTTGCTGAAATTAATCTCATTTAATTGTAAGTTTTAACTATTACCACAGCAAGTTTGAAAACGATTAAATAGAAATTATATACAAGAATATTTATCCTTCACTTTTGTGTACACCATAAACTGCTTTCATTTGTTTAGTCAGGGAAAACTAAAAAAAAAAAAAATACAGCAAGCAATGGGATGTTCAAGAGAAACTATCAGAAATTTCATACACGTGAATGACACCAAATTAAATCGTAAAAATTGACAGTAGCAAAATTGAATGGAAGGACACTACTGTCTGTAAAGCGCTTCCATTTCAACAACAACATCTCCTCCCTTGGTTCAGAAATACAATACCATCATCATCTCCATAGCTAATTATCTCAGTTGCTAGCATTCACCAGATCTGGCAGTCGAAGGAGCACAGTCCCCAGTGAACTCTAAACTAAACATTAGAGTAAAAATGCCTTGACAACTCAAGTCCACAATAATTTAAACAAATAGGCTTTCTCTTTTCAAGAAATGACATTAGCCATACAGCTCATAGAAAATTCATTACCCATATCAGGGTCGCATCTTAATGAAAGTAGCTCAGAGATGCTTGATGAGTGCTGTTAGCAATAGAATATTCATTACGATTAGCTTTCTAGAAGATTAAACATATGTTGAAAGAATCTTAATTTACTGGATGGGAAAAAAAAACCTGACAAGACAAATAACTAAAATATGATTAAATCCATACAGGAAATGTAATAAATAAGACTAAAGTTAAAGATGTTGATCTGTTCCTATGGTGATTGTTGCTATAGTGATACATCATCTCAAAGCTTTGCTTTGAGCCTGCTAAAGCTAGTTGTTCTCCGAGCTTGTAGAGCTTTGCCACACTACGTCAATGTTTTATTTTTAATAGCTTAACAAATTGGGTCTTTGGGAATTCAAACAAGCAGCCTATCGGCTGCGATAGCTAAGCTGTTAGCAATGCACATTTCATTTAAAGAACTGAAGATAGCATTAGAAAAATGAACAATATGTATAGTATCAAAGCAGTCGGGAAATATCCCTTTTTACCAAAAATTACAAAAATATTCACTAAAATTAGAGAATTAAAGATATTATGAAATAAACAAATATGAGAGAGGTCCACATGTAGCACCTATATATGTAATATCAAAGCAATTGGACCTGTGGTTTTTAACAAGAAGTTGAAAATATCACTATCATGTACTAAGTTTGAACAAAAAAACAGCCTCTGGATGGCAGATCATGTTCCATGATGCTTGATTTTGATTACTTTCTGGCAGTAAAATGCTACCATTATGAAATGGATTGTGAGATAAATTAACATGCATATGTATGTGTGAACTATGAATGTGATTCATCTGGACATGTCAAATAAAAGTAAGGGCTGCATGGATACAGGGATAAATGAAAGGACACACAGAGGTACATATATAAATATCGTGAATGCACTGAGAAGAGTCAGGTAAATGTCTATTTGTGTGAATGTAACTGATGTATGGGTTCTTAATGACAATGGTAAATAATGACAACCAGCTGAACTGATCACATGGAAGTGTGTGAAGGGAG